AGAAATGCGGCTTACTTGCGCTGTCTCTTGCTCGCCGGCAAGGCGAACTCCATGCGCTTCTTTGCATTTTCTTGTTTCATGCGTTTCAGGGTATTGATGCATTGCTTGTATTGCTCTTCTTTGCGAACCAAGCAAACTTGCATGTACCAGTGTTGAGCATTCGCGACATGATACATGCATCCAATGTCTCCATCGTTTGCTTTATCGACAAGGTCAATGAGTTCTTGGTCATCTTTAATGATATCTTCGATCGGACATTCAAGAGCTGGATCATTCATGGCGCGCTTCATAGCAAGATCAATAAGACGAGAGGCAGGAGTCATGGTGGTTATATTATGTATCGCATTGATCAATTTTACATGCGGGAACGGATCTTAGGCCATGTGGCCGCTTGTAGCGGAATCTCTATATTGAGGCTATTGTGGATAGGCGGGATCATGAAGCCAAATACTTTGTGAAACGCGGCTCTGATACTAGCGCGATTTACATTATCGTATAGATAGTGCGAAAACCGTAAAGGCTGCTCTCTACAGAGCGCCCTAAATAGTAATATATCATCTGTGAAGATGTATGATACGTTTGGCTTCATCGGGGTAGACTCTGTTATCTCATCCCACGAATGGCTTTCAATATACACACGTCCGTCAAACCATTGTCCCATATAGTCAAGATAGCGAAAGACGACGCCGCATTTGGCGAGCTCTTTTTTTAATTCGGCAAACTTAACAAGATAGTATCTATCGTCGATACGATCGTATGGAGCAGCTGTTGCGTTGTATCTAGCAATTGCATTTGTTTCAGTAGTCATGGCTTATATTATGTTTCTCAGGTATTACGTGCGACTCAGATAAAAAGCTACGAGCGCACATCCTCGCTATCAAACTGACGCTGAACGGCAAGCGGGTCGTAGCGCAAGCTGATACCATCATACTGATCCAAGGCATTAGTTAGTTGGTTGTCGATGATGGTAATGATCTTAGTACGCTGCTCTCTAGCGATCCGCGCTTGAAACGCTTTCAATGACTCTGCGTTGTTTCCAGTAGCATCGGCTAGCTGAGCACTAAGTGTGTCAAGCCGATCCATTAGAGCTTTGCGTTCTGCTTTAGCTTCGGCAAGAAGCGTTTGTGTGACTTTACGGTCATACTCTGTTAAGGCGTCCTTCACGTCATCCCATAGTTTCTTCCATTGAGCAGCACCCATCAACACATACAAGAGCCCTTTCGATATATTGATACAGTCTTCGATTACATATGATTTTAACAAAAAAAAGAAAAGTCGCCGCTCGAGCCTAGGCTTGGCTCATGTGCTTCAAGACAAACTGCGTTATCGTCTTGGCGTCAAGGTTCCCGCTACGATATTTGTCTGGATGAATCTTTAGGAGAATGCTTCTTCCGCGTTTCTTTAGTTCGGCGGGGTCAAGCCGACTCGTCAGAAACATATTGAAATTATCAAAGAAGTCTTGCTCTTCTTGCGTTAATGGTTTGGTTGGAGACGGTAGTTGCACTGACTTGGCCTTGAATGAACCAAAGCCTGATGAACCACGAGAGTTCGATGGACGACTGGATCCACCAAAGCCTGGTGAACCACTAGAGCGGGGTGGGCTATCAAACCGAAATGGATTCGGTCTGGCCGATGCAGGAGGCACATCATTTGTTCTTTTGTTGTCTTCTTTGATTGCCTTGTTTAGGTGATTGCCGCAATAGGTCTTGCCCTTGTATTGCTTCCTACTGATAAA